CTGTGGATGTAGGATGTTTAATGTGCGGTTTCATAGGCGCTAGTCAATCGCTGGAGGGTGCTGCAGCTCTGGCTTTGACAGTGGCGGCGAGGATGCGATTCGCTGTTCGCTACCCCAAGCTACATGGCTGGTTCAGCATCGCAAGAGTGCCAGCCAGAGTGCTCAGAGTCCAGTGGCTGCATTACAGAAATCGCGAATGCTGCAGAGCAGGGATTGGAACAGATGCTGGCGAGTGCAAAGGATTTGCTGACATGGCCAGGCAGTGGCTGTTCCAGGGCTGTACTCGGACGATAGCCGCAGCCTCGCAGCCCTATCTGAACATACAGCCTGTGTTCACGCTGGCCAGCAGACTGCCAAAGCTTTCAGGAACACTGGATTCGCCCAGAGCGCCGGCAATTGTGCGGTGGCAGATGGCCAAATCCATGGTAGGCATGTGGAACATTTTTATTCCGCCATGGCCATTTGTGGCCATGTCCGAGCGCCTGCCCACCCTCTGTCCCAGCCCTTTAAAACCCCAGGCGGGCCGCCAGGACCACCATTGGCCTCCACCTCTCCACCTCTCCACCTCCACACTTTTGCAAACTCTCGAACGCTCTCCCAGCCTCGCCTCCCCGCTTCGCACGCTAAATCGCTTTTGTGAGCTGGTCGCAGCCTCAGTGACAACGCTCTAAACGCGCCGATCCCATCCACCTTCCTAATCGATAAAGATAGCTCCTTCTCCTTGGCCCTCAGCTGCCGTCGCAACCCGAACAGCGCCGGATTTTGTTTTTATTTGCTCCTTTTTATTCCCAGGAGGTACTGGGTCTGAACAATCCCCCCATCGCTGGCTTCCTTCTGCTCCAAGCAGCGAATTCTCCCTCCCACCTGTCGAGCGGTAGGATTCGTCTCCCTTTTAATACACACGTCCCGCAGGCGCCTTGCACATCCTCGGCCTGTCCGTGTTCTTGATGTGACTCTTTTTCTCTCTCCTTACCTTTTTGCCATTATTGTACTGTGCGTATTACACCACCCCACCTCTTTCCCCCACCTGTCCGATATCTCAGCGCTTTATTACTACGCCATCTCCGCATTATCTGCGATCCCGATATACGATCCCCTCCCCAGTACCGCCACCACTGCCACCATCACCGCCTGTGTAAGTAGTATATGCGTCCATGCGCTCATCTTGCGCCGGAAGCATAAAATGGGGGGCATATGAAAACCAGTCCGCGCCGACTGTTCCTCCCACCAGTCACCAGCAGTGTGAGCGCCAAAACCCAGTTTCATCCTACTTGCATCCCTGTCTTTGTTTGCTCTAGTGCAACAGCTACGGACCATACCGGCTTTTCGGCGGCTTTTCTTTCTCCTCGCCCGTCCCCTTACACACGGATTTCCGGCTCACTGGTCACCGAACAATATTTGCCGTCAATGCTGGGCTTCGCAAACTGCGCTGTTCATAATTGTTGATTTGCCGGGGGCTGCTCGACACATCCTCCCTTCTGTTTTTGCACTCTCGTCTGCCCACTTGATGCTCCATCCTCCCTACACTACCCGAAGGAAATGGATGTGTAATTTGCGTGGCAGGTACGCTGTAGATTGGCACTGGCCAACAGACCACGTCGCTCACTTTGGGCTCCTCTCTAAAGATACCCCACGCAGTCGGATCGAAGTTGAAGCGATGCTGTCCGTCCTTGCTTGCCCCAGCTACGGCGAACTCATTTTGGGCGCAGTACTGGCTATTGCAGCCGATCCCAGCCACGGCCCTCTAGGGCTGACGAGCAGGGAACCGCGCTAAACGCAATAGGACGGTATGTCGGCACTGTAATTGGGCCGCTTGTGCCAAACAACATGGATTCGCAATTCTGCACCATCTGCTCATCCTCCTCCCCGGCCCCTATTTTGTTTACAGGTTCGGCATATTATTGGGCTGCAAAAGCAAAATAGCTTTGAGTGTCCACTAAGCCAGCCGCTGCTCCTATTCTGGTTTGCGGTGCCATGTGCCCCCTTGCAAAACCCGCCTGCCTTCTTGGTTGCTCGCTATGCTGTAGACTTACGCTAGTGCATTGTCTTCTGCGCCCAGAGTTTCAGCTGCTCCGCCCGACCACCCCTTGTATATATCTCCCCAGGGCTGCCCATCCCTCCAGCTGGCATCTTCTGCCGACTTTAATTTCCACTTTTTCTCTCTTGTTACATCGGCGGCTCTAAAACATTCACCGCACATAATTATTTGTCATCCCCCTCTCCTCACCCCGCATTTATAAACTGTACGCATATTCCTAAACCACAGCCATGTCGGACGATGTAGGATTCTACAACACGCTCCAGGTCCTCGAGCTAAGATCTCGCAAAAAGAGACTGAGCAGCACATTTATGGAGATGTCTAACCAAAATCAAATTACGCTCTTCAAGCTGTCGACGTCTTCGGGCAACGACATGGAGCACCCAGTACGCCCTAACGACCGGTTCTCGGGCGTGGTGGTTCTCCAGCTCTCGCGCCCCGTGTATGCGTCGCAGGTGACACTCGAGTTCACCGGAACAGAGCGTCGGATGTCGGCGCTCAAGGGCCTGTCAAAGTTCATAAAGACACAGCTATTTTCGATAGCAGTGACAGTATGGAAGCCGACACACGACGGACCCAGCCCTTCGTCGGTGCTCTCCGACGGCATCCACGTTTTCAACTTCACCTGCCAGATGCCAAACGTCAACTACCCCCAGTCAATCGAGCGCCAAGAGTACGACTATCGGTACACGCTGCGCGCGCTCGTCAAGGTACCGCTGGATCAGCGGTCGGAATACAGCATTGCTGTGGTCGAGAAGGACGTGCACTGCGCCCCGCTGATTACACAGTCGCTGAACCTGGAGACGCTCAATATCATGGAGACGCTCTACTTTGAGAAGAAGGGCAAGAAGGGCAAGGCTGCGGTTGAGCTGCGCGCAGGCATCACCGGCCACCAGATCCTCCCTGGATCCAAGGTGAAGATTGACATGTCAATCAAGGAGCTGTCGAGCACGAACTGGACCAAGGTCGTCGCTCGGCTGATGGAGCGCACCAACTGTCGCGAGGGCACCAAGAGCACGTTCTCGCAGCCGCACTGGTCGGCCGATCGCGAGCTGGCACACGCAGAGCTGGTGCGGTCATCCGTGTACAACTTTTTCCTCAACGACGAGCTGACCGGCGCAGATAGCTCAGGTAAGCAGCTTTGGGGGTGAGCACCATGGGAACATTTGTCCTTCGGCTGACGCCAGCGCCTAGAGGCAACTGCTGCATATTCAGTGCATCCTGGATTCCCCTCTCCACAGAGGAGGCAAAGACTGTGGGAGAGCACGGCGTATGCACCGTCTCGCATCCGAAAGAAGCCAAAAAAAAAATCAACCAGATATATGCCTTCTTCTGCTTTCATCGATGTGCGATGGTGGTCAAGGATTGGTTGCACTGCCAATTTACGAGCGTCAGAGGGATTATTGAATGTGGGCAATCCATGTTCCTCATGTGCGCATGCATATTCGGATAGGGAGCTATTTGCTGTATTGCTGGAAATCGCCGTGCCTCTTCACTAGCTAATTACAAGCATGTCCTGGCCCCTTCAATTGTAGAATCGACAACGAAGAACGGAAGCACCGTGACGAACGAGACGATGTACTTCCCCATTCCCTTGATGGCGTGCAGTCCGCTTGGCAGCGACCACCTCGAGTTCACGCATTACATCCGGCTGGATATTGTGCTGCCCAACTGGCGCTCCAGCGACCGCGCAGTGTACACCGAGTTCCCAGTCAAGCTGCTGACCTGCGACCCACAGTCGGCGGTTTCCATGCTGAACCGGCAGATGTCGATGCTTCAGCTCGAGCGGAGCAATAGCACCGATGCCCAGTCGTTTGTCAGCACCCTGCAGTCACCGACGCTGAACAGGGCGCCGAGCATTACCTCGTTCCAGGGCCCACGCAACGGACTTGCTGGGTCGCTTCCAGTTGCTTACTACGAGGTACACCCGGTGCAGCGGCCGTACCCGGTGCTGTCGATGCTCAAGCAGAGCAACTATTCTGGACCTGGAGATGTCCCCAGCGACCTTGTTTCTGTCAGCAAAGCCTCAGGAAAGCCCTCGACCAGCCGGAGCCTCAAGCACTCGACAATGGGCAGCTCGCACAAGTCCGAGTACAGCTTTGATGGCCGGTCGATGCATTCGTCGATGCAGTCGTCGATGAGCACAGCAGAAGACCCTGCTGAAGAGCGGTACCGGGCGCGGCCATTGCCGCCGCCACCACCACCATCGATGCTGCAGATGCCGTCGCAGTCGTCGGTGATGCAGGTGTCGACATCGCCGCCGCCGCCGCTGCCTGATGCCCCAATGCCAACCAGCAACAACTACTCGCCAACCACAATGGTCACACCAGTGTCTGCACGTTACCCCGAGTCTACACAGCAGAAGCTGCCGCCCCTGCCACCGCAGTCGCCGACACACAGCGCATACCAGGGTGGGCTGATCCCGTCGCCATACAGCTCAGCACACACGTCTACCAACAGTGCTGGAGCATATGAGGGCAACCTGATGCTGCAGCCTGTGCCCAGCAAGGCTAGCTCAGGAGGAGGAGGGGCCATAAAGGACCTCATTTCGGCACCATTCAATGTGGTGAAGCACGACACTGGGTTGATTCCGCTGCCGCAGCAGCCAGCTGCCTCGCTGCCGGTCCCGCCTGGCGACGTCCTGAGCGGGGGATTCGGGTTCCCGACATTTAGCAAGTCGAAAAAGCCGCAGCTGCAGCGTCCGCATACGTCAGCACAGATGACTATGGCTGCTGCCTCGCCGCCGCCAGACCTTCCGGGAGATGACTTTGACAGCGATGATGACGCCGGGTACTTCAAATCATCAATGGCCCGGCGGTCTAGTGAGCGTGAGCGTGCTAATGAGCGCGGTCTGTTCAGGCTGCGCAAGAACTCATCAATCAAGGTGTCACGGTGAAGAAAGACGAAAATGGCTCGTGTGTTTAAAAAGCGAAAAATGGTTACCACAAAGTCGCATACTCGGTTCTCAAAACATCTGTATTTTCTGTTTACATCTCAGTGTCTTGTTTCTACTAAAATCCCGCCAAAAGCTTTATCATGCTGTGACAAACATGTGTGTGCGCCCTATCCACTTTAATAGGCCTTTCCTCGCATCAAGAACCAGCGGGTATTAGCATTTCGTTTTTAGCTGTCTTCTGTAGGTTCAAGATCAAGGGACAGCGTATTCAACGAGACTACCACACTCATCTCGGGAGCTAGATTATCAGAGTGGAGAATGGATATCCATGTATGCCTCTGCCTGGAGACACGGCATCAGTGGATGAAGGACACTCTTGCTCGACTGCGTTGTGAACGTGTAGATGGATAAAAACAAGCAGCACAGGGCTGAAGGACTGGTCATAGGCCTGTATAGTTGGAATGGAGAGCGTGGTGCATGGAATAAGATGCACAAGCATGACTTGAGGAGCAAAGAGAAGGGGCTGTTGCCAGCATGTGCCCAAATATGCATGTGGCCGGCCTGCTGTGGTGGCATCGAGGTGCGCTGCTGCTTCACTGCCAACAGCGCCAAATGTCCTGTCTTGCCAGTAGAACTCGGGCCATTTGAGGCAGATTGTTGATCCAGAGAGCGGCTGAGTGTTCCGAGGATCAACATGGGCGTTGGGTCTAGCTGGCACGCCCAACGGCTTTTCCAGACCATGCCCGGCAGCTACTAGCTATTTTCCATTAGGGGACGGTTTATGAAACAAACAAAACAAAAACAGAACAACATGGAGCAGGGCAGTAGATGAACAAGAAGCAGAGGGGAGGGAACTAGTGTGGCAGACGTAAGGGAGAAATGCAATCGTTAATGGGATGGGTTATCAGCGCAATGAATGCAGCGACTCGTACAAGTCAAAGTTGAGCTCGGCGGCCTCACTCAGAATGGCAGCGTCCGAGCCGTAATCGGAGTCGGCCCACAGCGGCATCGGAGAGTGCCTGTGGTGCTCCTTGCTGCGCCAGGTGGGGATATACACGCCCTCGTCGTCCTTGCTTGGCGGCTGGGAGGGGCATTTGGACGGGCGGTTTGTTGCGGATTCGCCCTCCGAGTCGCTGCTGGGGTTGGATTCACGGCGGATGGTGTCGAACAGGGCGGCATTAAGCATCAGGTTTTCGGCAAAGCCCGAGTAGCGCTGCTCGGGGGTGATCCAGGTGGCCGATGCGCGGAACTCGAAGGGCAGGCTAGGCGGAACCGGCGGCGGCACGGCGGGGTTGGCAGGGATGAAGCTGAGGGGTCGTGGGGCGGCGGGTGGGGGATTGGATTCGGCAGCAGAATCCGACGGCCGCATGTAGGAGTCGAGCTCCATGTCGGCGTAATCAAACAGGGCGCTGGTTGGCGGCTGTGGCGGCTGCGGGGGCGTGCTTTCGGCACGCATATTGTGCTGGGCCTTGGGGACTCTGCGCAGGCGCGAGTCGGGGTCGGGGCTCAGGGTCAGGTCGCTGAGGCTGGTGCCCTCGACAGGCTCGATGCTAGTGAATTCGCTCACCAGCGGCTGTGGCGGCTGTGGCGGATCGGCCGCCTGGTCGTCATTCTTTGTGGCCAGCGACAGGTGCCCGAGGCTTTGCTGCAGTTCGTCAATATCGGCGGCGCTGTCTGCCAACGAGTGCCGCGAGGCAGCAGAGTCCTCTTCGTGAAGCGTCGATAGGCGGGCGGTGGAGGGCGCTGGGGTGGCAATCGCACTTGAATCCTGGCTGGCGCGGGTCTCTACTCTGATGATCGGCACATCGAATTGCTCGGCGCCGTCCAAGCTGTTTGGCCGGCTCGACTGTGGTGGCTGCTGCGATGTGCTGTTGGCGCGCTTGCGGCTGCGGGACAACGACCGCCTGATGATCGAGCTGACTGATTCCTTCGCGGTGGTGCTGGCGGTCTGAGTGGTCTGTGGCGGCGGCCTGTGCTGGGCAGCTAGCAGCTGCTCGAATCTCTGCGGGGGCAAGCACTTGCGCAGGGAGGGCTGTGGGATAGCAGCAGTGCATTGGCTGACTGGGCATGTGACTGCAGTGGCAGCAGCCTGCAGAGCGTGCTTGACGTGCGATTGCACGCAGCTGAAGCACAGCGTGTGGGTGGCAGCGCACTGCACGGTCCAGTCGGCGCCTTCGTGTCGCTCGCATACCAGACACATTATCACGTCCTCCTCCGACGAGTCCGATATATCTGATGCGGCTAGTGATTTGCGCTGGGCGTCGGCGGGCGGTGGGCGCTCTCCCTCATCCTCGGAGGGCTCGCCGTCGGTGATACTCATGGCTCTGGAGAGCGGCGACTTTGCCAGGGTGCTGGCGCTGGGGCGTCCAGGCACCAGCGTGCGGTGGCGGATGCTGAGCGGATCCCGCGGGGTGAGGCGGCGGCGTGCGTGTTCCCGCTGGATGATTTTGCCCAGGGCCTCGTCGTCGTTGGCCTGGGAGACCGAAGTGATGGCGCGGCTGCCGAGGACAGTGAACGAGGGCGGCTGGCGGCGGTTGGCTCTCATCCTGCGAACTCTGAGGAGAAACGAGCGGGCGTGGTAGCAGATGGTGCGGCGTTGCGGATGGTTGGCAGTGGAAGCGGAAGACAAAGAGTACATGCTGTGGTGCAGCGAGCTGCTGCCATCGATGAAAATGCCAGGCCCCAGCATGCTGTTTTGGGAGCCCGTCGGTGCGCGCTGCCGCGGGATCGACGTTGCAGCCTCCAGGGGCTGTTCTGCCGCCAGGCCCTGCGGCGACCCCATTGTCGACTGCGTGTAGCCGCGCCGCCGCCGCTTGGCCTCCCGGACCACGTCGGGCGAACCGATCGTGCTCCGGCTCGGCCGCCCTGGCGGTGACGAGGGTGCGGCGAGTATGCCGCCCCTGTTGCTGTGTCGCCGTGTGCCGCCCAGCGAGAACAGCTTGCGCTGTGCCTGCTGGGTGCCTGCTGGGTGCTGCAGTTGTCGACCCGTCATGGCCGTCGATATGTGCTGCGATGCCGCCAGCGCGTTGGCTAGCGGCTCGCCGGATGTGCGGCAGTTGTAGACCTTGACCCAGCTTGCCTCATGCAGCCCGCTGTCGACCCACCGGAATGTCTTTGAGGAGAAGAGCTGTGAATGCGCCTCCTGCTGCCGCCGTACGTAGTCATACATGACGGGCCGATTCTTAAAAGATAATGGAAAAAAACTGTGGAACCTCTTTTTGGGGGACCTGTATCCAAAACGGCGGGAGATTAAAAAGCCAATAGCTGGTATCAAGAGGTGGACTCCAGGAGCTGAAGGTTGCCGCGGCCGGGTTAAATAAAAACAAAAGTGAGGGGATCTGCGGAAGCAAGAAAGCCGGTCACTGCTGAAGAGCTGAAGCAGACGCTGCTAACCGCTGCGTCAGGCGGTATTCAACCGCCCTCGAGCTGCAACTCTGCGCTTGTCGCTGTGGACCCGACGAGGAAGTCTTTTTCTGCGTGCTTGCTTTCCCGTCCCTCCCCACCTTTTACCATTGTTGGCACCCAAGAACAAGCGCGAAGCGAAAAAAAAAAAAAAAACGGGGGGGTCACGTCGCCAATTATCTGAAAAAGCGACGCATTTCTTTCTCTTTCCAGATTCTAAATGCAAGCGCTTTTCATATTGAAGCGACGGGGCGACGAGAGCGATAGGTAAACACCTGTCCCATGTGTCCCGGAATCTGGCACGCATACAATCAAAAAGGGCGTCCGGCGTGTAGCTGGGCATACAAAAGAGCTGCCCTTCTTTAGGAAACCGCTTCTTGCTTCCCCGTCGCCGAGGCTAAAAATGAACTGTCGTTCTGGGTGCTGCTGCGTTATTTTTAGAGTCGCTGGTCCGTGTAACAAGATCGACTGTGTATGCGTGCTTTTGAGTGCCCGCTCCTGTTTCGCTTTTCCGAGTATGGCGCTATGCACTCAGTCTGGCTATGCCCTCTGTTTTGAACCTCACTATAGCTGGCACGCCGGGTCTACTGCTCCTTCTGTATATGTACATCCCAGCAGGTGCCCTTCTGTGGCGCCCTCATGACTGCTACTGCGCATTTCGCTTAATCTACCTGTGTGTGCCTGTCAGATATTGCTCCGGCCGCTTGCCGCAGAGTGCAGCATCTGGGAATTGCCAGCGCTGGATAATGGGCCGCCGTCCCTGTCGCCGGCTTCCACACTGCCTTCTCGATGAACCACTGCATATTGTCCGCGCCGCCCGCCTCCTCTCTTTATCCATCTTTCTCTAAATTGTGCCTCTGTCGGGAATTGCGTCCTCTATTGTTACTATGAAGCTTGTTTTTTCTCTTTCCCAGAGGCGCCGGGTTCTGTTTCCGCCGATTGGGTTGGGGGAGTAGGCGGATCGTTTTATTAGCACAAGGGCATGCTGGAAAGACATGCATGTTACTCGCCATGGGTTATAGACTTCTGCAGGCAGGCAATCCGCTGCCAGTAGAACATGCATGGATGGCATTGCGCAGTAATACCACCTTGGGTCCCAGCAAACATGGGCGCGCCGCCTGGTAGTGGCAATGGCGGTCGTTGCTACATGAGGGTCAAACCATGCAGATCGCAGCGCATGGTTCTACTCGCCTGCTGCATACAAGGCTTCTGCCTGTCCCTAAATCGCTCGATTTTCTATTGCATTTTTCATGCCGGCCGCGGCGCATCATGCGGGACCTCCTCACCTGCCTGCTCCCCCTCTTCCTGCGCCTTTTTTTCCTCGCCCGGTCACTTGCACCTTCTTCCGTGTCCGCATATTCGACCTTCTTTGTCTCCTTTCTGTATCCTAGTGCATTGCTATCTACATAGTGTCTTCCCTGTTACTTTTTCTGTATTTCCTCTCCCCCAACCAAGTTCGCCGGCTGCACCAGTAATCCTCCACACTCCCCCACACTTGGGCTGTTTTTTATAATGACGAGCGAGAAGCAGCTACTTCGCCGCGTAAACTCGGCACACACCGGACAATCGAGCTCGCCAGTTGACACCACGCACAATGTGTTTCTGCACCTCCGACTGGAGCCCTTTCTCTCCTCGTCGCTGCTCGACCTAATAGACATATTGGCTTACCCAATATCCATATCGCCCAGTGTCCCCAGCACCCCGCCGCCGCTCTACGAGCCCCCGCCGCCGTCATACCCAGCCGGTGAGTCGTGGCTGGCCCCGCTGTCCGACGAGCAATCGCCTGCGTATGACAGCACGAATGATGTGCAGATGACCCCTGGTGATGTGGTCGTTGAGGAGCAGCTGCAGAACGAGTTGGCACTGAATCTGCTCATGTATGAGGTTTTAGCCCACCAGTCCGACGAGTCCACGCCCCCAGGGAATGGATCCTCTGCGCAGCAGCAGCCAAGCAATGGCAATCTGCACCCTGCTGTTTGATTGCCTGCTGACATGCCAAAGCAGGGGGGAGGACAAGAAATGCGCAAGCTCTCCTGCTGGAACATTATCCCTCCCTCAATCCCCCCGCCCCACCAATGTTACATGCAATCGGTGGTACATTAGCCCCGCCGCTTTGGTTCTCTCTGCCTTCACATTCCTTCCATGTTCCATATATCACCAAGCCCACTTGTAAATTCTCAATACACATATGCTGCCCTTTGTTTGTAGCTTCAACAACAGGAATGCCTCTATCCCCCTGATATGAGAAAATGGGATGTGCTGATGCCAGTTCTGGGCCTCGCTGCCGATCAAACACATCCGGCATTTGCCGATCATTTTTAGAGTATGTGTAATAGTCGGAATAGTCTTAAAGGGGTAGAAAGTGTAGAAAGAAAGCTCTTAGATGATAGAGTCGATCTGGCCGATGGCCCAGTACAGCA